GAGTGATTGTTTTTAATGAGAAAACAATATATGCCTAGTACATAATAAAAATGGTAAATGGTGTGGAAGCAAAAGATTTGTCTTGTTTGGTGTTAGGAACTGAACCCAGAGTAGTGTGTATAGTAAGCATTTAGTCATGTGAACTCAATACCCTGTGCTCTTAATTTGCTAGAAAAGTAACAGCCCACCTCCCCAAACTTTTATGTCAGTGAAGAATAGTTGTTATGAATAAATTTTGGCCTAATAAAAATTTACAGAAGTGAAAAATGCTGTAGAGTATAATTTTAGAGATCATTTCTATAGTTTATTAGAAGCTGGGCCGGTTATGCTGTAGGTGACTGCACTCTCCCACTGATCCATCGTCTCTCTAGCTCAGCTTTAAAGTCTTTGTCTGCACCAGGGCCTGCTTCAAGGCAGTGGTGGCACACCCCTTTAATCCCAGCACTCCGGAGACAGAGGCAGGTGGATGTTTGAAATCAAGACCAGGCTGGTCTATAAAGTAGTTCCAGGACAGTCAGGGGCTACACAGAGAAATTCTTTCAGAGAACCAAAAAAGAAAGAAAAGTGGGCTAGAGAATCTAGCTCAATGGAAGAGCAGTTGTCTTAGCATATCTAAGACCTGGAAAAGCTTCAGCACCATACACACAAAAAAGATGCCTTGATATAAAGAAAAAAAAAAGAAAAACCTCAGTGAATACAGTGTTATCTCTAATAACGCCACTAAAATATAAGTGTGAAAATGGACAGCAAGCAATAGAGAATAAAAGAGAAGGGATTTGATTTGTTAACTGAGAATCATCTTTTTCTCTCTTTTCTTCCTTCCTTCCCTCTTTTCCTCCCTCCCTTTCTTTCTTTTTTTTTTTCTCAAGACAGTTTCTCTGTGGCTCTGGTTGTCCTAGAACTTGCTCTGTAGACCAGGCTGGCCTCAAACTCAGAGATCTACCTGCCTCTGCCTTTTGAGTGCTGGGGAAAATAATTTTTCTTAACTTTAAATTTTATATTACAATATTATAAGAAAAATGTAGTAGTGTAGAAAACAAAGTAATTGGGCATGAGCATGTGGTGCACTCCTAATCCCAGCACTGGGAAGTAGAAGCAGGCAAGAGACCTGGGAGTTTAAGGCCAGCCTGATCTACATAGCAAGTTTCAGGATAGCCAGGGCTACACAGGAACCCTGTCTTGAAGGGAAAAAAAAAGATTATTTTTGGAGGATATTGGGACAGGGTTTCTCTATGTTGCCCTGGCTGTCCTAAATCTCACTATTTAGCCAGGCTGGCCTCAAACTCAAGAGATTCTGTCTGCCTCTGCCTCCCAAGTGCTGAGATTAAAGACTTGCACCACCACCACCAGGGGATTTTATTTACGTTTTGTTCAGTGTATTCAGATTTTGCTTGCATGTACTACTGTGTACTTGGTGATTGCAGAGGCCAGAAGAACATGTTGGATCCCCTAAAACTGGAACTACAGGTGGTTGTGAACTGCCATGTGGGTGCTGGGAACCAAACCCAGGTCTTCTACAAGAGCAGTCAGCACTCTTAATGGATGAGCCGTCTCTGTAGCCCTGAAAAAGAAAATTTTTTTGTTTGTTTGGTTGGTGTTTTGAGATAAGGTTTCTTTGTGCCTGCCCTGGCACTAGGTCTATAGACCATCCTGGCCTCAAAGTCACAGAGATCTTTTTAAAGCCTTTGCCTCCCAAGGGATTAAAGGTGTATACCACCACACCCAGCTTTGAAAAAGAAAAGTTTAGAAGGGTAAAAATCATGGCAATTCATGACTACACTGTTGTAATTGTAAGAAAACAGTTTAGTCACAGGGGCCTTGAGAAGTTTTACTGTGACTGTCTGTGCTGGAAATAGGCAAGTGCAGATGACAAACCTATCAGAGCATAAAGAGGAATTGGCAGCCTTAGTGGGGTGTGTGTATTGGGAGGTGTTTATTCTGAGAATATATATATATATATTTATTTATTATGTATACAACATTCTGCCTGTGTATATGCCTGAATGCCAGAAGAGGGCACCAGACTTCATTACAGATGGTTTTGAGCCAACATGTGGTTCCCGGGAATTGAACTCAGGACCTTTGGAAGAGCAGGCAATGCTCTTAACCACTGAGCCATCTCTCCAGCCCCCTGAGAATATATTTGATTTCAAAGGAATGCAAGATAATCTACTCCCAGGAGACTACCCAGCTGTTATTTGGGCTTTTTCTTGAATCTTGGGCTGAGGGACAGGGCTGGGGTTGTGCTCTTGCCTAGCATTTTGTATAAGATTCTTCCCCAGCATCACAAAAGGCTTCATTTAAAAGACAAGGGATATTTTAATTTATTCTTCCTTTTTCCTTCCCTTTTTTTTTGTGGTTTTATTTAAGCATGAAGGAAATGTGCATGTGAATTGTCTGTTCATTTCCTCTGCTGTCAGAGGTTTCAGCACAGTAAAGTTGGTTGCATATCAGGAACCAGCACGTGCTTGTGTGCTTGTGGCTCCCACAACCAGTGTTGGGCATCAGGGTTCGGGCCTTGAATCTTCAACACATGCTCCCACCAGTAACCTCTGGGGCTTTTGACAGTTAAGCTTAATTTTGACCTACGGATCTGACTGATGCTGCATAAAAATCATCTTGGGCTTCACCAGAATTCATTTAAAATATGGAGTAAGAGATAGCAGCCACCTCCAGAGGCAAAGTCTCATTATGTAACCCAGGCTGGTCTTTAACTTGCAGTGATTCCCCTACCTCTGCCTCTTTTTTTGGGGGGGGGGGCTTCCTTTTTTAAAAAATATTTTTTTATATTTATTTTATTGTGCATTTGTTATTTTGCCTGTATGAGGGTGTCAGATCTTTGAATTATAGACAGTTGTGAGCTGCCATGTGGGCGCTGGGAATTGAACCAGGGTCCCCTGGAATAGCAACCAATGCTCTTAACTGCTGAGCCATCTTTTTTTTTTTTTTTTTTTTGGATTTTTCGAGACAGGGTTTCTCCGTAGCTTTTGGTTCCTGTCCTGGAACTAGCTCTTGTAGACCAGGCTGGTCTCAACTCACAGAGATCCGCCTGCCTTTGCCTCCCGAGTGCTGGGATTAAAGGCGTGCGCCACCACCGCCCAGCTCCTGAGCCATCTTTCCAACCCTGATGACTTCCTTCTTTATTCTCTGTTCTCTCGTGTTTTTTCTATGTTCTTCCTCTTTTTGTGTTCTTTCTGCTGTATATTTTTTTCTACAGCTTATATATTCCAAGTTTTTCAGGCAATATAGGAATTACAACATGGTTACATTCGGTTTTTCAAGTGAATGAGTGCAGTGAATAGAAGACAGTAAAGACAGCATGTTTTCCATCTCCCTTGCATGGTTAAGCATTTTACTTACTACAGGTGAAAAACAAATTAACCCAAGATACCTCTGCCTCTTAATGGCTAGGATTGCAGGCTTCATCAGTGTTTTTGCATATATAGTAGGTCTTTCCCTGTTGCTGTGTAATTTTCTCTCCAGGATTCATTGCCTCTTGTTTACCCACTCTTTTATGAATGGACATTTAAATCCTTTCTAAATCTCTCCAGCCTCCATATAAATATTCTTATAGAAGTCTTTTGTGGGGCTGGAGAGTTGGCTTAGCAGTTAGCACTGGCTGTTGCTCCAGAGGACCCAGATTCTGTTCCCAGCACCCATGTGGCAGTTCACAGCTGTCTGTAACTCTAGTTCCAGGGAATCTGACATCCTCGCACTGATATACATGCAGGCAAAACAACAATGCACATTAAATAAATAAATAAATCTTTTAAAAAGGAAGTCTTTGGTAGGTAGTTTTTATTTCTTTTGGGTAGATTCTAGGAATAATTTCAGTTTCATTTTAAAGATCACTGTATCTACAGAGGATTTACAAAAAAATTAAAGGTACACACTAGCAGATAATGAGAAATCATTAAGTATGCTCCCTCACTGTGTATGTGTGTGTGTGCGCATTTGTTTGTGTGTGTGTGTGTGTGTGTGTGTGTGTGTGTGTGTGCGTAGTGGGTCTTGAACAATGAGTTACACCCTCAGTCTTCAGAAAGTGTTCTTGGCTTGAAAATGAACAGTAGTTGTGACAAGGAGAATGTAATAGCTGGGATAGGCGTGGTATTTGGCTTGCTTTCTTTACACTTTCTCGGATACAGGTAAATGGATAGATGCTGATGCTAAGGAATTGGGGTAGTTATAGCATTCACACAAGGCCCCTGAGCTACTTGAGGAGGAGAGGTTGAGAAGTGTAGCAAACGGGAGAAATGAAGTGCAATCGGCACTGTAATTTTGAGGTGGTGTGGTTTATGTTATTGTTTTGAGATAGGGTCTCACTGTGTAGCCCTTGCTGGCCTAGAACTGTATAGATCAGACTAGCCCCAGATTCCCAGGGACCCTACTTCTGGAGTGCTGTGGTTAACGGTGTGCACTTAACACCCTACCAATAAGTTTCTCAGAACTGCAGAAAACAAGCCTGGGTATATTTGCCAAACTGCTATGTAGATGTTCCCTTTAGCTATGCCATTAGTATGTCTTGCTGGAGTTTTAAGAGACGTTAGTTTTAATAACCCTACCCTGCATATTAAGTGAAATTTTATCTTCTGTTAAGCACCATTCATATCTTTAACTTTTGTGTGTGTGTGATTCACAAGGATTATTTGCAGCTTTTTTTTCAAATAAAGGGTTTTTTTGTTTGTTTCGCTTTTTGAGAAAGGTCTCACTACGTAGCTCTGACTGTTCTAGAATTCACTGTGTGCCAGGCTGCCTCTGCCTTCTGAGTGCTGGAATTACAGACGTGTTGCCATGTCCGGCCAAGGTTTTACATTTGAGTATTTAGTGTGCTCACTGGTGTGTGTGTAGTTGGACCTGTAGAAGCCAGCTCTCTCTTTCCTCCAAGGGAATTCTGGGGATGCAACTCAGGTCATCAAACTTAAAAGTGAGTGCCTTTACCACCTTAGATTTATTTTATGTGCATCTTTTCTTGTTCTCAAGTGTTCATATTTTTCTTCAAGGTAGAAAATGTTGTTAGCGCAAATAAATCGGGATTCTCAGGGAATGACAGAATTTCCTGGAGGAGGAATGGAGGCTCAGCATGTTACCCTATGCCTGACAGAGGCAGTAACCGTGGCAGGTAAGCAGTCTTGCTAGAAAGGATCAGGGAAGTATGGAAGTTGCAATTAATGAACTTTTTTTTTAATTTTTGAAAAGAATCCCATACATGTATCCACTGTATCTTGATGATACCTTGACCCCTCTCATTCGCTGACATCTTCAATTTGGCCAGATCATATTTTGGAAATTCTATAAAAAGATTCTACTTGAGTCTCTTTAAGAAGTTGTTTAACTTGCTTTTTACCTTGTTTTTCATTTCATAGAAAATAATTTAATGTCATTAGCATGAATATATGTAGCTATCTGAAAAATAATTTTGTTTTTTCATAGATGGTGACAATTTAGAGAATATGGAAGGTGTGAGTTTGCAAGCTGTAACACTTGCAGATGGCTCTACTGCTTACATACAGCACAACTCTAAAGGTATGTGCATCCTGTGTGGCCACTGGTGAATGATGACTCAGAGCCCTCACCCACTAGACCTCCATCCCAGCCTCCTTAGGATGCTGCATTGCATATGATGCTGGAAGTTGGTCCAGCCTATCTGAAGTTTGGCTTTGATCATTTTGGGCTACCCTTTGAGATAGCTGAAAGATATTCTGGGGAACTAAAAGGGAAGGGGATGAAGAGTAAGACATTTTTTACTTTTTAGTCTAGATTGTAATTCAGTGTGTTTACAAAACATGTAAAGAATGTATTTGGTTTTCTTAAAATGACATTGTCTCTGAATTGACATTTAGTTTGCTTCAGGAAATAACCCAGTTCTAAAACTCCTTTTTTGTATGAAAAACTGCCATGTGTACGTGGACAAAGGTATACACAGCTCCCAGGGGTGAGAGTGTCAACTGAATTCATATACACTGACGTGTCTGTTTAGCTTCTCTGTGGTCAGGGTCTTTGGTACTAAATGGCTCTGAGAAGAACGCAGAGGTTTAATGCATGTAGCTTACTGTGATGAGCCACTCTTCCTCTTGAATTTATCTGATTGGAAATTGGAGGGAGGAAGGATGGCTGAGGGAGGATTTTCTGCTTTCTGTAGGATCACTGGATGTGATATTGAATTGCCTCAGAACATTGAGGGAAGAACCAAGATGAACATGAGCTTAAGTAGTGTATGTTTTTATAGTTGATATTATTTTGAAATTGTATAAAGTTTTAATTTTTTTGCTGCTAATTTATGGGCTTGAATATTTTATTCTAGATGGGAGACTCATTGATGGCCAGGTCATTCAGTTGGAAGATGGTTCTGCTGCCTATGTTCAACATGTCCCTATACCTAAAAGTAGTAAGTATTTAAGACACAACAGCCAGGCATGGTAGCACATGCTTTTAATTCCAGCACTCAGAGTGGGCGGGCAGGTCTGTGTAGTGCAGGCTATCCAGGGTTACACAATGAGACCATTTCTTAAATAAATAAATAGCCAAGCAAGCAAGCACACAAAAACCTGCCCTGACTCTCAGACTTCAGAACTTGCTGCCTCCAGCTTGTCTTACTACCTAAATTTGGTCTGATGTCTAGTCTTTTTCAGAAGAAAGGTCAATAGATACCAGACTGAGGATCAAACTTAACCAAGACTCCTCTAAAAGATAATGACAGAGACATTGCTGCGCTGAGCCTGGGAGATTGATAGACAGCAACCCTAGGGAAATATGGCTGTTGGAGCTGAATCCCACATCACTCATTTTCTTTTATTCTCCTTCTTTCAATTCTCCTCATCCCTGGAGTCTCGAAATGCTCTTTTCCTTGAAATAGTTTCTCGGAGCAGCTTTACTGAGATTACTAAATGTCCAGTGACTCCTAGAGCAGGTAGATGCGTTAGTCTGACTCTGCTGCTGCTGTGTGACTTAGCAGGAACACGCTGAAAATGGGGGGCTAAATGTAAGCATTGCTCTTGAGCAGGGGACAGTTTGCGGCTGGAGGACGGGCAAGCCGTGCAGCTGGAAGACGGAACGACTGCGTTTATCCACCATACTTCTAAAGGTACGATAGTTCCGTGGGTGTGTGGGGAACAGAAGAACTAACTGTCTTTGGCTGTGAGTGTTGTCCATGGGAAACAACTATTTATTCCTTGAAGTACAAAGCAGCTGGTCGGGGTGTTGTTTAAGGAAGAACCGTGTGGCAGTTTGAGCTGTCCAGGAACAGCAGAGAGCAGACTGGAGCCAGCTGTTTGAGTACCAGGAACTGACATGAGCCCAAAGTTTGGTTTCTCTGTTCGTACTCAAAATGAGTATGTTATTCTTTTAGGTTAAATGTTACAGTAAATATTGAGCCCCTCCCCCTGTTTTTAAATGTTCCTAAGGAAAGTAACTTTAATGTCCCAAACCTCAGGTTCCTATCTATACAGTAGAGGTTGAATTCTGCCTCACAGTACTTCTGTACAGATTAAATGAGTATAAGACATATAGTCAGTATAAATATGGGAGCCTGTGCCTGTAATCCGAGCATTTGGGAAACAGCAACAGGAAGATCACTGTACCTTTAAACATAGTGTAGCCTCACCGGGCGGTGGTGGCGCACGCCTTTAATCCCAGCACTCGGGAGGCAGAGGCAGGTGGATCTCTGTGAGTTCGAGACCAGCCTAGTCTAGAAGAGCTAGGTCCAGGACAGGCTCCAAAACCACAGAGAGACCCTGTCTCGAAAAAACCAAAAAAAAACAAAAAAAAACAAAAAAAAACAAAACATAGTGTTGCCTCCATAGTAGGTACCAGGACAGCCTAGGCTACAGACAAAACAAAAGTAAATAAATTGCATAGTACAATGCTCATAGTAACTACTCAAAAAAAAAAGTTCATTTCTCTTTTGCTTTAAATATAAAATGATGCTTCTGTGTGTGTGTGTCTGTATGTGTGTCACAATCTAGTCCCTTGATTTGAAGAGTCTTTCACTTCAGCTCTGCTCCTTTGCCCTTTGTAAACCACATTTCTTTCTGATGGAGAAGACTGTGAGAACTCTCCCATTTTTTATGTAGGCGCTTAGTGCTGTGAACTTGCTTTTTAGAATCACCTTCATTGTGTCCCATAAGTTTGGATATGTTGTGTTTTCATTCTCATTCAGTTCTAAAAAGTTTTTCATTTTCTTCTTGATATGTCTTGACCCGTTTTTCATTCAGTAGTGAGTTGCTCAATTTTCATAAATTTATATACTTTCTACTGTTTCTGTTGTTGATAATCAGCTTGTCAGATAGAACGCAGGGAGTTATTTCAATTTTCTTATGTGTGTTGAGACTTGCTTTTGTTCAAGTGTGTGATCAATTTTGCAGAAAGTTTCATGGCTGCTGTGAAGAAAAGTGTATTCTTTTTTTAAAAAAAATATTTATTTATTTATTATGTATACAATATTCTGTCTGTGTGTATGCCCGACGACCAGAAGAGGGCGCCAGAACTCCTTACAGATGGTTGTGAGCCACCATGTGGTTGCTGGGAATTGAATTCAGGACCTTTGGAAGAGCAGGCAATGCTCTTAACCACTGAGCCATCTCTCCAGCCCCAGAAAAGTGTATTCTTAAGTGTTTCGGTAGAATGTTCTGTTAGGTCTGTTTGACTTATAACATTTAACGCCAGCATTTCTCTGTGGGTTCAATATGTGTCATAGTGTTTCTTTTATGAACTTGGGCACCTGTGTATTTGGTGCAGAAGTGTTTACAATTGCAATATCGTCTTGGTGGATTTTTCCCTTTTGAGTGTGTGTCCTTCTATACTTCCCTATCTTTTCCGGTTAGTTTTGGTTTGGAGTCTACTTTGTTATTAAATGATGGCTACACCTGCTTGCTTCTTAGTCTAATTGCTTGGAATATCCATCCATCCATTTACCCCGAGACAATGTTTGTTTGACTTTGATGGTGAAGTATATTTCTTGGATGTAGCGGAAAGATGAATCCTGTCCTCCCTCCCTCCCTCCCTTCCCCTTTCTTTCTTGTGCCTTCTGTAAAACTGGGTTGGTAGGTGGATATTACTTTATTTTTATTTTTATTTTATTGTGGATTTTTTTTCTCCAATTGTGATTGGTAGTGTTGCTGGGTATAGTAGTTCTGGGCACCTGTGATCTCACAGAGTTTGTAGAGCATCTGCCCGGGCCCTTCTGACTTAAAAATAAATTCTATTTGTATTTTCATATCTTGAACTGTTTTCGTTATTTCATTCAGCTGTTTGTGTTTTCAGAGTCTTCATTAAGGCATTTATTCATATCTTCTTTAAGGTCCTTGAACATATTCATAATTGCTGTTTTGATGTCTTTGATTTTTTTTGTTGTTTGGTTTTTTTGTTTGTTTGTTTGTTTGTTTTCGAGACCGATTTCCCTGTGTAACCCTGGCTGTCCTGGAATTCACTCTGTAGGCCAGGCTGGCTTTGAATTCACAGAGATCCGCTTGCCTCTGCCTCCCAAGTACTCTGATTAAAGGCGTGCGCCACCACCTCTTAGCCAAAGTCTTTGTTTTGTGTGTGCTTCAGCTAAATTGCATTTCTTGGGGTCTGTTACAATAGGTGTTATTGGCTTCTGGCTGTTTGTATTTTTGTGCTGGACCTAGGCATCTGGAACTATGATATTTGAGGTGTTTTTGGTGTGGACATCTGGTCTTGTCTTTGTTAGGTGGGTGTTCCATTCTTTGATAGCTGTTGCGCTCTCTGGGTCTTATGCAAGTGTGGTAGCGATGGGGTCCTAGTGGAGAGTGCTTCTGTGGGTGGACCAGTGCCAAAAAGGATTGGAGATAGGCTAGGAAGAAAGACTGATACAGCCGTGAGAAAGAGCAAGGGGAACTAGGGCCTGCACCAAGAGGCAGAGTTCCTAGAGAGTAAAGGTAGAGTGGGAAGAGGGGCTCCTGCACATAGGAGAAAGAATACGGCTAAAGAAATAAGAATGAAAGAGCTAGGGAGGCCCTAGAAAGAGCTAGATCTGCACCAGGAGGCAGAATCCCCAGGGAAGGGAGATGGCGGGGAGGAGGGACTCCTGTAGGCAGTCTGCAGTAGAGGGAAGAGTAAGAGATCAGAATGGGGGGCAGGAAGTACAGTAAAATCACCTACCTACATCTTAGCCTAGTCTTGGCCACTGTGGGTCCATGGTAGAAAGGATTTTATGGATTAGTGACTGACACAGAGGAATGAAGATGAGCTATAAGGGAAAGCCGAGAGGGTTGATGGACTAATGTGATGCTTTTAATGTAATGCCTCTCTTTCCCATCCCCCAGATAGTTATGACCAGAGCTCACTTCAGGCAGTTCAACTGGAAGATGGCACAACAGCTTACATCCACCATGCAGTGCAAGTCCCACAGTCTGATACCATCTTGGCAATTCAGGCTGATGGGACAGTGGCAGGGTTGCACACTGGGGATGCCACAATTGATCCAGATACCATTAGTGCTTTGGAGCAGTATGCAGCAAAGGTATGGCATTTTGCAACTTCAGTACCATCCTGGCCACGGTGTATTTAGTTGTTAGAGTGTTTGCTGTGATATGCATAAACCCTAAGTCAGCACTGGCACTGGTGGCACTCACCTACAGTCCAGCACTTGAGGTTAAGTGGAGGGATATCGTCATCCTCAACTACCTAACAAGTTGAAGGCCAGCCTGGGATAGTGAGACCGTGTCTCAAACACAAAACAAACAATAAAACACCACCAAAAAGAAGAAGCAGTACTGGGGAGAAGACTCAGCAGTTAAGAGCACTGCCTGCTTTTCCAGAGGACCCGGGTTCAATTTCCAGCACCCACATGACAGCTAACTGTCTGTAACTCCCAAGATCTGATACCCTCAAAGAGACATACTTTTAGGCAAGACATGATGCACATAAAATAAAAATAAATAAATTGTTAAAAAAAGAAGCGGACTGGAGAAATGGCTCAGAGGTTTAAGAGCACTGTCTGCTCCTCCTGAGGTCCTGAGTTTAATTCCCAGCAACCACGTGGTGGCTCACAGCCATCTGTAATGCATCTGGCGCCCTCTTCTGACCTGCAGACATACAGACAGTATACTATATACATAATAAATAAAATATTTTAAAATAAAGCAAAAGCAGCAGCTAGCAATTTAAAACAAATATGTGTCAGTACTAAAGAATTCAACATTTATTTTCAAATAAGTGAATGCCAGGAATATAGTGCATGCTTATAGATGATCACAGGTTCAAAGACAAACTTGGGCTGCATAGTGAGATCCTGTCTCAACGACAATTAAATGCAGAAAGAGGGCTGGTGAGATGGCTCAGTTAAGAACACTTGTGGTCGGGTAGTGGTGGCACACACCTTTAATCCCAGTACTTGGGAGGCAGAGGCAGGCAGATCTCTATGAGTTCGAGGCCAGCCTGGTCTACAGAATGAGTTTCAGGACAAGCTCCAAAGCTACACAGAAAAACCATGTCTTAAAAAACTGAAAGAAAAAAAAAAACAAAACACTTGTTGTGTTAGGCAGTGATCATGCACATCTTTAATCCCAGCACTTGGGAGGTAGGGGTAGGAGAGTTTGAGACCAGTGTGGTCTACACAGTGGGTTCCAGGACAGCCAGTGCTCCACGAGAAACTTTGTCTCAAAAGCCAGTAACAACAACAACAACAACAAAACATTTACTGCTCTTGCATATGACTCCGGTTTGACTCCTAAAACCCATCCAAAATTCCAATTTTAGGGGCTCTAAAATCCTCTTCTGAACTCTGCAAGCATCAGGCACTGCAATTCATTTGGTATACTAATACATGAAGGTAACATACCCATAAAATAAAATTTAAAAATTAGAAAAAAGAAATAATTGAGGAAGAATAACAATGATGTAAGCTTTAAAAAATAAATAAATAAGCCGGGCGGTGGTGGCGCATGCCTTTAATCCCAGCACTCGGGAGGCAGAGTGAAATTGTAGATTTAGAGAAAAGTGAAGGAGGGCTTGACAGATGACTCAGCAGTTAAGAACACTGACTGCTTTACCAGTTCAATTCCCAGCACCCACATAGTAGCTCACAACTGCCCGTAGTTCCAGGGGACCCAAAATCCATGACAAAACTTACCAATGCACATAAAATAAACAAGTTTAAGACAGGCTGTGCACACCTTTAATCCTAGCACTCAGGAGGCAGAGGCAGGCAGATCTCTGTGAGTTCAAGACCAGCCTACTTACTCTACAAGAGCTAGTTCCAGGACAGTTAGGACTGTTACACAGAGAAATCTCTGGCATGTGATCCAGCCTAAACCATTATCAAAATATAAAACCTGGGGCTGGAGGTATGGCTCTACATTGCTTGTTTAATGTATGTGAGGTCTTAGGTTCAATCCCCAGCACTGCAAATAAATAAATTAAGCCTTTTAAAGCTTTCTTTTATTCTTTTAGGTGTCCATTGATGGGAGTGAAAGTGTAACAAGTACAGGACTGATTGGAGAAAACGAGCAAGACAAAAAGATGCAGGTATGTAGAGCTGAGTCATGTTAAAAGTTTTTTAATTATTATTTTAAATTGGTTGTGTGTGTGTGTGCTTGCGTGCGTGCGTGCATGCATGTATGTACTTGCACATGTAGATGTCTGTGTGCAGGTACCTATGAGCACTGGTGCCCATGTAGCTTAGGGGTATGTGGTTTCTTTGGAGTTGAAGTTAAAGGTGGTTATGAACTGCCTGACATGATGGGAATTGAACTTGGCTCCTCTGGTCGTTATTTGCAATTTTTATGGTTTTAGAATTTTTGGGGTTTGTTTTGTTTTGTTGGCAGTACTAAGGATTGAATTTAGGGCTCATACTTGCTAGGTAAGATCTACTCCTTGGTGTCATAGTTTCTGAAATCGTCAGCTTACAAAGAAATACCTTAAAGGAAGTGCTGTTGTTTAAATTTTTATGGTGTGGCATCCAGAAAAATGACTCTCTGCTGAATCTAAGTGTAGATTAGGATCACATGGATTCTATCTCTTAAGAGGGATTCAAATGACCTGACACCCTCTTTGTCATTGCTTGACATTGTCTTAAGATTCCATTTCCTTTAAAAAAAAAAAAAGTATGACTGTTGAGATGGATCCCTTGACTATGTCAAGAAATAGCAAGGTACAATGGAATGGAAGTCTTATTTACTTTGGGTATTTTTGGGTAGATTCTCACTATATAACTCAGCGTTAATCTCATGATCCTCCTGCCTCAGCATCCTAATTTCTGGGACATCAGGCATGTGTCACAAGAGTGACGAGCATCCTGGAGGTTTTCTAGGTGGAAATGGATCTTGAGCTCCAGCTGTGCCCTGAGAGGGCCCCTTTTGGCTGTTCCAGAGCACTGACTTCAGCCTTGGATGGAGTGAGTCTTTGGAGTTTGAAGGGCTAGGTGCTAGCAAAATGATACTGATTTATAGCTTATAACATGGTTTTACGGTTTTTATAGTCGGATTTTTCTTTGGGCTGCCAGCTCACAGAATACGACGTCTACGTTCTACCACGTGGTGTTCTTTCTTCCATCTTGCGCCTCCCATTTCCTCTCCTTGTCTGCCTGGAGAATCCATGAGTCTAGATTCTTCCTCCCAGTTTCTCTTTCTGTTTATTGTGAAAACAGTAATTTCATCTACTGTATTTCTGTATAAGTACATAAGTTGTATTTTTTTTTCTAGATTGTCTTACAAGGACATGCTACAAGAGTAACTCCTAAATCTCAACAGAGTGGAGAAAAGGCATTTCGGTGTAAATACGATGGATGTGGAAAACTCTATACAACAGCTCATCATCTTAAGGTACATAAGAGAGAAGTAGCTAGTCACAAGCACACTATGGCCTGCACTGACTAGTGACATGGTCGTCCGTGTTACATGTTAGACATCCCTGTTCTCTTGCATTCAAAAGTTATTGACACACACTCACACTAACACACACAAGAACATGGACAGACTCAGCAAATGTCTGTTCTCTGATAACTTGGATGATTTATCTCTGTATCCCTAATTCCCACATATTTCCTGGCAGAAACTATATATTAAATTCAATATAATTAGTACATTTCATTTATGGAACTTACATAATTTTCTTCCTTCCTTCCTTCCTTCCTTCCTTCCTTCTTTCTTTCTTTCTATTTTTGAGATAGGGTTTCTCTATACAGCCCTGGCTGTCCTTGAACTCACCATGTAGATCAGGCTGGCCTCGAACTCACAGAGATCCGTTTACCTCTGCTTCCAGAGTCTGTTTCGTCACTACAGTGGCAGTGATTCAGTGCAGTCTGGCAGCGGTTGGTGATGTGGCTCAGTGATGGAGCAGTTGTCTATTGGGTTCAGTCCTCAGCATGGAGGGAGGAAAAGACTATCCCACTTCACAAACATTGACCCAAGCACTCTCATCGCTTATTTATCTTTCTCTGAGGATCCGGCATCTTGCCTGTTGGGGTGCACACCTTTAATCCCAGCCCTTGTGCGGCAGAGGCAGGTGGATCTCTGTGAGTTCAAAGCTAGCCAGGTTTACAAAGTGAGTTCCAGGATTGCTAGGCTTTTACACAGAGAAACCCTGTCCCCACAATGAAACAAAAAAAAGAATCCAGGGTCTTACATTTGCTAGGCCAGTGTTCTACCATTGTCCTATGTCTCCAGCCCTTGTTTTTTTGAGACAGCGTCTCACTGTGTAGCTCAAATTGACCTTCAAGTTCTCTCCGTCCTCCTCTGCCCTCTAATTTCTGGGGTTGTAGGCATGTGCCACCACACCCAGCAATATTAATTCGCTGGAGAGCTATTTTTTTTTCTTTTTTTCTTTTTTTTTTTAAAGATTTATTTATTTATTATGTATACAGTATTCTGTCTGCTTGGATGCCTACAGTCAGGAAGAGGGCACCAGATCTCATTACAGATGGTTGTGAGCCACCATGTGGTTGCTGGGAATTGAACTCAGGACCTCTGGAAGAGCAGCCAGTGCTCTTAACCTCTGAGCCATCTCCCCAACCCTGGAGAGCTATTTTTAAGGTGTATGCTACTACTGTCAGGGCCCGTGAGAAGTCCTCTAAAAGACCACTAGTCACATTTGCAGTCAGCAAGAGTGTTTATTAAAAACCCAAACTGCCAACATGTTGGGTGGCAAATGGCGGTGACAAGAGAGGCTCTTGGGCCCCTTTAAAGCTGGGTTAGGGGAATCCCAGTGAGGAGAGATTAGTATGAGGGCTGATTGGTGGGTGTCCCTAGTGGTTAAGGACTTTCCAGCAACAGGGTAGGAAAATCTATCTTTAGCTACCAAGAGTCTATGGGGCATCTGCTGTGCTAGCAGAAGGCTGTGGGGTGCCTGCTGATTGGTTGCTCTTGAGTTGTGGTTTTCCTGAAAATTATTTGCTCAACTAAGGCCTAGTCTCTGGGAGGGCTGCTAGCAGAATCTGTCATGGTTCTGGTCTGGCTCCCTGGCCCTCTCATTACACCAAGCCTCAATATTTTTATTTTAATTGTAACAAAACACAAAAAAACTATGCCATGATTTTTAACAAACAGTTCAGATTTAGTGAATAACTTACCTTGTATAGGGAAGTATATATTTGGAACAGTGGCCTTAGAGCAGTGATCTTGTACTTATTAATGTGACTTTAGCATGTTAAGTGACCTCTTGGTACCTAATTTTCCCTATCTGTAAAGCTGTTTGCCTGGCAATGGTGGCACATACCTTTAAACCCAGCACTCAGAAGGCAGAGCCAGGCAGACTTCTATGACCTTGAGGCCAACCTGGTCTATTTTTTTTTTCTTTTGGTTTTTCGAGACAGGGTTTCTCTGTGGTTTTGGAGCCTGTCCTGGAACTAGCTTTTGTAGACCAGGCTGGTCTCGAACTCACAGAGATTCGCCTGCCTCTGCCTCCTAAGTGCTGGGATTAAGCCAACCTGGTCTATAAATAAAGTTCCAGGACAACCAGAACCCTGTCTTAAAAAACAAAAACTGGTTATCTCAGGCTGGGAATGTCACTCGCTCACTAGAGTACTTGCTGGGTCCTGGGTTTATTCTCCAGCCCCACATAAACTGGTCATGGTGGCACATGCTCTTAATCAATGCTCGAGAGATGGAGACAGGTGCCTCAGAAGATTAAGGTCACCCTCACTGCAAATCCAGGATGGGACTGATGAGACCCTGTTTATAACTTACCATTGTCTTACAGAAATGATGTGAAAATTAAATAAGTTAATACTGTTCATATAAGTCACTAAAAAGAATGAGTCCATTAAAGTTTTGGGGCATGTTGGGCATTAGCATAAGTATTCATATTTTATTTCACTTTACAGAGAGGATCTTGAGGCTTAGAAAGGCAGGCACAGAGTTGGAGATTGTAGCTCAGTTAATAGAGTGTAGTTAGAATTTTCTTTGGACTGCCAACCAGCACACAAATAAAGGCACAGAGACTTATTATTAATTATGAATGCTCGCCTTAGCTTAGGCTTGTCCCACTAGCTCTTTAACTTAGTTTAACCCATTTCTAATCATCTATGTTTTGTCGTGGGGCTTTTTTTTTTTTTAAGATTTATTTATTCATGATATATACAGTGTTCTGCAGGTCTGAAGAGGGCACCAGATCTTACTACAGATGGGTGTAAGCCACCATGTGGTTGCTGGGAATTGAACGCAGGACCTCTGGAACAGCAGGCAGTACTCTTAACCGCTGAACTATCTCTCCCTTGGGGCTTTTTACCTTTCTTTTATGCCCTACTTTTCTGCTTTCTTTGTATCTGGCTACTCGCTGGCCCTGGAATCTCCCTCTTGTATCCTTTTTTTTCTTCCTCAAGCCTCAATTTCTCTTCCTGTTTACTCTCCCTGCCTGGAAGTTCTACCTAAACCTCCTCCCTTGGTATTGGCCATTCAACTTTTAATTAGACCAATCAGATGCCTTAAGTAGGCAAGGTAAAATAGTGACACACCTTTACATAATGAAACAAATATAACACGTCTTTGCACTCAACAGAAGGGTGCTTGACTAGCATGACTAAGATCTATCTCTAGCACCCATAAACCAGGCATGGTGGTGCATACCTGTGATCCCAGGACTCAGAAAGATCAAGAGCACACGTCATCCTCGTATACTTAGTTAGAGTAGACAAGTAGAGTGAGACCATTGTGGAATGCATGAGACCCCAGCTCAGATAGAGAGAATAGATATGTAAATAGTTGGGGAGAGAGAGACAGAGAGAAAAACGGGTACCCAAGACCACTCCTCTAGGCTGTAGTGTAGCCTTGCTTTCGATTTCAGGTTCATGACTTTCTAGCACAGGTTGCATGCCGCTGTTCCCTTTGAGAAGCCTGACGCTCTCTCCCTCATTCTCATCATGCATGTGTGTCATAGGAGTTCCTGTGACCACTCCAAAAGCACTCAAATGATACCGTTTCTCATTTTAAAAGGCCTTGTTTCTATGTAACATATGGGTGTGCATTGAGAATTACTGGGTATAGTTTTTGTGGAAGAGGTTTTTTTTTTTATTTTTTTGTTTTGTACAATTGGAATAGTGATATAGCTCAGTGATAGCTGTTGCATCTCATATCCGAGGTCCAGAGTTCAATGCCCAGTACTGTAAAAGAGAAGAAGGAGGGAAACGCATAAAACAAATAGAGGAAAAGTAAGATTGAACTTGAGAACATCTTACTCATAGAACACATAAAGGGAACAGAATCTTGTTTGTGTTTTAATAACAGGTCCATGAGCGCTCGCACACAGGAGACCGGCCTTATCAGTGTGAGCATTCAGGCTGTGGGAAAGCATTTGCGACAGGTAAAAACATAAATTTTCTTTGCTTCTTAGTCCAATGGGACATTGCCCAGGGCAAGCCAGAAGCAGAACCCCTTCTGTTTTCTGAAACCACAGAAACACATGATCAGTTTTTTACTTTTATGCTTTTTAAAATATTTGTGTATATGTGTTCCTGCATGAATTTATGTGTACCATGTATGTGCAGGTGCCCCTATAAGCCAAAAGAGGTGATTAGATCCCCTGGAACTGGAGTTAGAGGCAGTTGTGAGCCACATGATGCGGGTGCTGGGAACCCAAACTTCTGTCCTCTGCTCCAGCAGTATGTATGCAGTCTGAACTGCTGAGCCGCCTGTTCAACCCTCCATCGTCTTTCCTAACTGCCTCTTGTCCTGCTCACTTTGGACCTCCTCTGTGTTACCATTTTTCTCCAGAGATCTCGCTCTGACTACATATTTACTGTTACTCATTCCATCCTCTATTTTCTTCTACCAGGGAAAATAAAAGCCATGTGTTAAAAGCCAAATATGCCAGTAGACAATTTTAATCCCAGCACTGAGGAGGCAGAGGCAGGCAGATCTCTGAGTTTGAGCCCAGACTGGTCTATCTAATGTGTTCCAGGCCAGCCAAAGCTATGTAGTAAGACCCTGCCTATCCCTCCCCCACCCCCACTCCACCATAAAATGCTGACTTAAGATCCCACTCCACCATAAAATGCTGACTTAAGATGTAATTAGTACAGGTCTAGAGACCCACAGAACTGAGCCGTCTGTCATGGAGGTGCTGGGACTCCAGCCCAGATCCTCTACAAGAACAAGTGCCCTGAATCACTGAGCCGACTCTCAAGCCCCATCCTTTTTTAACATTAGGGTTTTGCTGATTAGTTTATTAGCTTTTGTTTTTTGATATTTATTTATTTATTTATTTATTATACAGTGTTCTGTATGCCTACAGGCCAGAAGAGGGCACCAGATCTCATTATAGATGATTGTAAGCCATCATGCTGAGAATTGAACTCAGGACCTCTGGGAGAGCTGCCAGTGCTCTTAAGTGCTAAACAATCTTTCCAGCCCCTAGTTTGTCTGTGTTTTGAGGTGTCATCTCACGTGGTATCCCAGACTTGCCTCAGACTGATGACAGTCCTCCTGTGTCAGCTTCCCACATTCTGGGAATTACAGGTGTGAGCTACCACCCTAACTTGTCCCATGTATGTTTAATAGTCATCCTCTTGTATATAGCTAGTATTTTATCCTGGTTATTTGCTGTATATTTCCGTAAGTTAATCTCCTAATATTTGTTTAGAAGAGTATTGTATTGATAAATTTCTTTTTCTCTTTTTTTTTTATTTTTTTGAGACCACATTTCTTTGAGTAATCCTGGTTGTCCAGGAACTCACTCTGTTGACCAGGCTGACCTAAAACTCACATAGATCCTCCTGCCTCTGCCTCCTGAGTGCTGGTATTAAAGGTGTGTGCCACCACTGCCTGGCACTAAATTTCTTTTAAATTTTTTTTAAAGGTTATGGATTAAAAAGTCATTTCAGAACTCATACTGGAGAAAAGCCATATCGGTGTTCAGAAGATAATTGTACAAAATCTTTCAAAACTTCAGGAGATCTACAGAAGCACATCAGAACCCACACAGGTACCAGTACAAACAGAGTAGCACAGCTAGACCAGGAATTGCTCTTTTGACTGTAGCTCAGGCTGATGTTGAATTTGTGATGATGCTTCTGCATCAGTTTCTTCAGTTCTGGAATTACAAGCTAGTACTATTAGACTAAACCAGGTATTCTTAATCTGTGGGGGTGAGGATGGTGTCTGTGAAAAAATTGGAAACTCGTAAAATTCCCTCCAGTTTTCTGTTTGTGCATGTGTACCTCTTTCCAAGGTGGCGCCCCAGAAATGCGGTGGTAGCCCTAGACCACAGCCCTTTCGGCTTTCAGAAATTATCTGAACGACAAGCTTGTTTTCCTGGATTGCACATTTGATAAGTAGCTGAATTGAAAACAGACCCTAAGGTGCAGAATTCCTCTCCTGCTGCTAAAGGAAATATCCGATGTCAAGTATGGTAGTTCCAGTAAGTGGAGGCAGAGGCAGGCGGGTCTCTGAGTTACAGAGTAGTCTGGTCTACAGAACTAGTTCCAGGATAGCCAGGGCTACACAGAGAAACCCTGCCTGGAAAAACCAAAAAAGAAAAAACAATTCTCTCTAATAAATAATATAAATAAATAAACATACATATGTAGATATTTTGATGTGTTTTGTGGGAGGTACTAGATTAAAGAAATAGCAAATTATTTTCTTTTAATTGCTATTAAACAAATATGGGTGCATCCACTATGCTGTGTACGTGGAGGTTAGAAGACAGCCTACAGAAGTTGGCTCTCACTTTCTGCTCTGTAGTTCTCAGGGATAGAAGTCAAGCTGTTAGTAAAGCTGGTAGCACGTGTTTTAGCTACCACCTACCGAGCCATCTCACAACCCCAGAAATTATTTTTTTTTTGTGGTATTGTAGAATAAATAAGAAATAAGCATTAGGAAATCCTATAATTTGAACTTAATTCTTTTTTTAAATTAAGTTGTATTATACTATATATATATGTATGTATGTATGTATGTATGCACCATAGCACACGATGCAGGCTGAATTGTTTTCAGGAATTGATTATTCTTCTATCCTTTAGGTTCCAGGGATGCCACTCAGGCAGTTTGTTTGGGCAACAAGCATTTATGCCCATGGAGACATCTTGCTGAACCTTAGTCCTTACTCTGTTTTTCTTTTAACCTTTCTCTGACGTTTTGGTCTATGCTTTCCTCAGCTCAGTTTTCAGTTGATGGTTATAGCTTGGAAAGTCAGTCACTGATGAGTGTTGCATGCCATTCAGTTTTCTTGTGTCAGCCCAAGTTTGGAGTGGAAGAAGCATACTCCAGAGACACAACAGAGCTTAGAAGGGAAATTCAGAGCAAGCAGACTGCGGCAAGGCACTGGGCAGAACCACATGATGAGACATTTCCATTCTCTATGTATTTTATTTCCTGCATCCTTTAATTTATTTCCTTTTGTATCTTCAGGAGAAAGGCCCTTTAAGTGTCCTATTGAAGGCTGTGGTCGGTCCTTTACAACATCAAATATCAGAAAAGTGCACATCAGGACGCACACAGGAGAACGACCATACTATTGCACAGAACCAGGATGTGGGAGGGCATTTGCTAGCGCAACTAATTATAAAAACCATGTGAGGATACACACAGGTAATGATTGCTCATGTCTTGGCCCTGTCTTTCCAACTAGTCTCTTCCTCCCATGATGTGTGCGGTCGATCGATAAGCTAAAATTAACCAGACCAGCTCAATATAATAGATTTAGTTTTAATAAACGGAAAAAAGGGAAACGCACACAACCAGGGGTCCAGCGAACACCAGGAGCGCAGTGAACAAAGAGAGCTGGCAAGGGCACCTGGGTGTTTTTATCTTTTTTTCTTGGCCTCAGGGGGACACACCCTAAAGAAAATATGATTGGCTGAACTTCCCCATCACTCCCAGTTCATGTAGTGAGAAGAGATTAGCAGCTTCAAAATTTCTTTAATGAGCCAACATAGGTGGTGGTACATGCCTTTTTTCCCAGTACTGGGAAGGCAGAGCCAGAGGCAGGCATGTAACTGTCTCAGTGCTTGAGTGCTTGCATGTGTAAGGGTCTGTTTTTGATCCAGGCACTACACAAAGGAAGAAGGCTGATCAGGTAAGTTGGTACAGCCAACAGTAGGAATTCAGAAGCTTGTGAAGGAGGAATGCTGCTGCACACTCGTAATCCCAGCACTTGACAGAGGGAGAGAGCAGGATCAGAAGTTCAGCGTCATCTTTGGCTATATAATGAGTGTGAGGCCAGCCTAAGCTACATGGACACTTAAAAACAAAGACACACACCCAACCCCCCCTGGAAAAAAGAAAAAGCTTCCAGCCCAGTCTGTTCCCTTTTTGACTGTTTGGTGCCACCTAGTGTTGGTGTTCCTGCTTCAGCCTAGACAGCGGGACTGCTGCGCCGAGTGGTGATTGGCAGCCATTTCCTGTTAGGCGTCATCTGCCAGTGCTCTCAACCTCTGAGCCATCTCTCCAGTCTGTGAATATAATTTTTAAAAGCTTACAAAAATTGGCTGGAGAGATGGCTTAGTAGTTAAAAGCACTGCTGCTTTCCAGAACCTACATGAGAGCTTAAAACCATCTGTAATTCCACTTTTAGAGAAAATTATGCCCTCTTTGGTCTCCTTGGGCACTGCACACCATTGGTACATGGACGTGTGTGTGTGTGTATGAAAAACACAATAGATGAGCAAGAAAAATAAAAATACCCATACACATAAAATTAAATAAATAGCTGGGCTTGGTGGTACATGCCTTTAATACCAACACTCAGGAGGCAGAGGCAGGTGGATCTCTGAATTAGAGGCTAGTCTGTTGTACATACCAAGTTCTAGGACAGCCAGGGCTACATAGAAAAACCCTGTCTCTCACAAACAAAACCTTTGTTGTTTTTGTTTTTTTTTTTTTTTAATTTATAAAGGGCTGAAGATATGGCTCAGCAGTTAAGAGCAAGTACTGCTCCTGCAGAGGATTTGAGTTTGGTTTCTAACACACATGGTGTCAGGTGGCTTTGACCTGCCTGTAACTCTTCTGTTTTGGGTTGTGAGCCTAGACTCTAAAGGCCGAGCCATCTCTCTAACCAGACAGCCTGACAACCTAGCACGAGGGGATCTGATGCCTCTCTTGACTGCTTTGGGTACCTGTGTGCGCGCGCGCACACACACACACACAGAGACACACATATACACTTATTTTCTTAATTTATAAGAAGAGTTAAGGACTAGTTTGTAATCCTTCCTGGCACCTAGCCCAAAACCGAAAGCAACAGTCAAATGCTACAGTACAGATTCTGTAACGGGGTGCAGAAACACCTCATTTGATATAAACACTTGCCATGCAAGCATGAGGATCTGAGTTCTGATCCCCTGCACCCGCAGAAAAGCTGAACATCACAATGTACCTGTATTTTATCTCTGGGAGACAAAGACAGAAGTTCAACCAATCTGGTCAAATCATTGAGTTCCAGATTCAGTAAGAAGTGGAGTCAGGCCTGGTGGTACATATATCACACTGACTTGGAATTTGCTATATAGACCTGGCTGGCCTAGAACTCACAGAGATCCACCTGCCTCTGCCTCCTAAATGCTGGGACTATGGCTGTTTTTGAGCTGAGTCAAACCATAGGGAATTTTTTTCTAGTGTGCTATTTCATTTCAAGATGAAGAGGGACACCCCTCACAAATACCTCCCCGGTGCTGGAAATTGAACTCAAGCGCTCTAACAATAAGTTATATAGTGACAGATAACTTGGCTGTTTATTTTAGAAGTCCCATTTTCCAGTTGTGGAGTAAATATCTCTGTAAAAATGACCTTTTTGTGTATCTTCTTCTCTTAGGAGAAAAGCCATATGTCTGTACAGTTCCTGGTTGTGACAAAAGGTTTACAGAATATTCCAGTTTGTATAAACACCATGTCGTTCATACTCACTCGAAACCATACAACTGTAACCACTGTGGGAAGACATACAAACAGATCTCCACGCTGGCTATGCACAAACGGACAGCTCACAATGACACAGAGCCCATTGAGGAGGAGCAGGAAGCCTTCTTCGAGCCTCCCCCAGGTGAGAACTTTGACAGTTGTATGTTTTGAGTTTGAGAATCAGTTATGAGCATGAGCCATGCTTCTGTTTCATTTGTGTGATCACACACCGGATTTCCAGCTGTGGCGAGTGCTGTGGAAGGGCATGGGGGCTCCAGGTTGTGCAAGGGGGACTTGGTATCTCCCAAGAGGAGAGAAGCTTCCTGAAGAAGTGTTCTTGGAAAGATTCTGAGGGTGCAGGGGGTTAAAGGAACAAAGAAGCAAGGCCTGGGGAAAGGGAAGGGGAACAGACATAAGGCAAGGGGACTTGCAGACAGATGGCAAAGGAAAAGGCTGAGTACTGGTGAGAGGAAAGCAACTTGGAGACTTTGGAAGAAGCCTGACCAGTATGGCAGTTCTGCCTGGGAAGAGCGGAGACTTCTCTCATTCTCAACACTGGAGTGAAGTGTACAGAAACATTTAAGTTTAAAAAGTTAGATAGGACCGGGCAGTGGTGATGCACACCTTTAATCCCAGCACTCGGGAGACAGAGGCAGGCAGATTGCTTGAGTTCAAAGCCAGCCTGGTCTACAGCGTGAGTTCCAGTGCAGCCAGAGATACACAGAGAAACCTTGTCTCAAAAAATAAAAACAAAAGTTGTTGATAGAAAAACTTCATCACTTAAATGTCTCCATATTGCTTTCTAGCCAAAATCCCGTGTGTATAGTTCAATATTTTGACACCCAGGAGTATGTACAATTTATTCCTCTCATTCCCTTCTTACACACACACAAACACACATCTAGCAGAGTTTTACTGTTACTAGGCTAGCCTGCTACAGCTTCCCACATGCTGGGTTTATATGCATAAGCCACCACTCCTAGCTAATGGGAGGATCAATGGAAACATTGTACAGCGTGCTGACTAATGTTAATAATAACATACTTTATACTTGAAAGAAGCGAGAAAGATGTAACTGCTAATTCCTCTTAATTTAAAAAAAAAAAAAAACAGGCTTTGTGGGATGGGGAGATGACTCAGCTGTTAAAAGTGCTGTGCTGGTATGAGGACCAAAGTTAGGGCCCAGAACCCACACACGTGCTGTGGAGTCCTGCCTGTGATTCCAGTGCCTAGAAGGTAGGACAGGCTCCCTGAGCTGCTGAGATGTATATACTACAGGTTGGTAGGTAGCTATGTCGGTGAACTCTGGCTTCGATTGAGAGATTCTACCTTGATAAATAAAGTGGAGTTCATGTCAGCCTCCAGCCTCCATGCATGCACACCACCCACATACACCTGGGAAGAAAGCAAGCTTTAGTGATGTTAAATGTAGGACAAGTGGTGGTGGCGCACGCCTTTAATCCCAGCACTTGGGAAGCAGAGGCAGGTGAATCTCTGTGAGTTTGAGGCCTGCCTGATCTCCAGAGTGAGTTCCAGTACAACCAGGGCTATACAGAGAAACCCTGTCTCAAAACAAACAAACAAAAACAACTATGATTGCTTTTCTAAAAATACAGATTTGTGCTCCTTTCCCTGGGTAACACTTGGAATAAAATAATAAACAACTGAAAAGAAAAGGCGCAAAGTAATGTATCTGAGAACATTACACCTCATTGTCGCCATCTGAACACACACTAGATAGATTTGCATACTAAAATCCTTCATATACTAGTATTCTTAGATTAGTACTGCAGAGTATGAAGTTTCTCTTTAAAGGGGGACTTTCTTTTTGCTCCATGAGAGCTGGCCCGTACTGAGAGAAGGGAAGGTCAGTCATCCTGATTGCCCAGTATAGCAGTTCTGGATGTTAAATCATCCTTCGCTTTCTGATTCTTTTTGGGGAGTAAGGGGGGTGGTTATTGAGACAGGATTTCTGCCTGGTTCTTTTGCTGATTCTTTGTGAAAAAAGAACTGGACTGGAGTTCCTGTTCTGTTACTTATTAAATGATTAACCTCAGCCGAGATAACATGCCATTGCATAGTCTTTACACAGTGATGTCATTGTGTACCAATAGCTTGCTGTCAATCACGTGTGTAAAAGACTAAGATAGTAGATTGTGTGTACAAGCCATTCTGGTTTTGTGGTTAATGTTTATAGAGACCTTTTATTACCTTCATGGATCTTAAGTGACTTCAGGAACTTGGTATAGACTTGCCCTTCTGGGAGCGGCAAGTCTATCTTTGTGTATAATTCCTCCCTTTGTGTCCCCAGTATGCTGTGCACAGTGGCACATAATCATTCCATCTAAGTGTAAAGGAGAGGTCTCCTCAAATCAGAACATTTAAAGTTCATGGATAGGGTTCACTTTGACTTGGCCTCGCAGAAGTGAAGACAGAAGAATTAAGAAGAGGTCTTGAAAACTATTTTCATGGTTTAAAATATAAAAGTAAGCTTTAGTTTTTTGGGCTTTTTGTTTTGTTTTGTTTCGTTTTTAGACAAGGTTTTATATGACCTGGATTGGCCTTGAACTATCTTGAACGGCCTCCACTTCCTAAGTGCTAGAATGACAGTCAGGCACTACCATGCCTGGCTCTCTATTCGGTTTTTTTGTTTCATAGTTACATAGTTAGAATCTCTAATGTTGTCTAAATAAATTGGTTTGTTGGTCAAATAAATTATTCATTTATTTTCAACAGGTCAAGGTGATGATGTTCTTAAAGGGTCCCAGATCACATATGTTACAGGTGTAGAAGGAGAGAACATTGTATCTACACAGGTAGCCACAGTAACCCAGTCTGGGTTGAGTCAGCAAGTTACACTTATATCCCAGGATGGGACTCAACATGTAAGTATCTACTAAAAGCCAAGAAAGTTAAGTATTTCTCTACACCTGGGATTGAAAGGCAGGCTGAGTCCCAGTGGAGGAAATCCCTGAGTAGCAAAGCATGAAGTTTGGATTCCTGCCTGTAGGCCAGTGGTTCTCAACCTTTTTAATGCTACGACCCGTTAATGCAACTCCTCATGTTGTAGTGACCCTCAACTACACTTGTTTTTATTGCTACTTCATAACTGTAATTTTGTTGTTGTTTTGAATCATAATGTAAGTATCTATGTTTTCTGGTGGTGTTAAGGAGATCTCTGTAAGACAGTTATTTGATTGCCCAAGGAGTCAAGAACCACGACTCTAGGCATCGTAGATCTCCATAGTCTGCTGGAAAAGGTGGTATGAAGGGCTGGAGAGATGGCTCAGTGGTTGAGAGCATTGCCTGCTCTTCCAAAGGTCCTGAGTTCAATTCCCAGCAACCACATGGTGGCTCATAACCATCTGTAATGAGATCTGGTGCCCTCTTCTGGCCTTCAGGCATACACAGAGACAGAACATTGTATACATAATAAATAAATATTTTTTTTAAAAAAGATAGTACTAAGTAATAATAGTATATGTAGAATCCAAATAGTGTTGGCTGGTGTGGTTCAAAGTGAAATGGCAAAGATCAGAATCACAAGGAGACTGTGGGCTTCAAAACTAGTGGGTCTGAGCTGAAGAGATGGCTCAGAGCACTGGCTTCTCTTCTAGGGGTCCTAAATTCAGTTCTCAGAACATACATGCAGACTCACAATTGCCTATAATGGAATCTGATGCTGTCTTCTGATGTGCAGACATATATATATAGACAAAGTACTCAAATATACAAAATGCATGAGTAAATAAATCCTTTTCTTTTAAAAAAAAGAAAAATAAAAAAGTTCTGGGTGGATACAGTGCATGCCTTTAATCCCAACACCTAGGAACCCAGTGCTAGTTCCAAGACAGCCAGGGGGAAATATGAGTAATGAGATGGGTGTGCTCTGAGAGCCAAACCTGCCATGGTTTTGTGGGCACCAATAGCCTAAAAGAATTATGCTTTGATGTGATTAGGGGCACTTTTTTGGGGGCAGGGGGTGTCGAGGCAGGGTTTCTCTGTAGCTTTGGAGCCTGGCTATCCTGGAACTCCACCACTGCCTGTCTTGATGTGATTTTTTTTTTTTTTTACCAAACAAGTCTTTTTTTTTTTAATATTTATTTATTTATTTATTATGTGTACAATATTTTGTCTACATGTATTCCTGCAGGCCAGAAGAGGGCACCAGACCTTATTAAAGATGGTTGTGAGCCACCATGTGGTTGCTGGGAATTGAACTCAGGACCTTTGGAAGAGCAGGCAATGCTCTCAACCACTGAGCCATCTCTCCAGCCCCTTGATGTGATTTTTAAGCTCCTGGTAGAGTTGTCTTAGTTTGGTGAAACAAAACACAAGCAGATGGACTATAAGGGCTCTTTATTCTCCTGTGTTCTGTGTTCCATGGAGAGCTCTCTTCCTGCCCTTCTGTATTAGAATCTGCCTCCTGCAGTCTGTATACCCTTTGCTTTTTGTTTTGTTTTGCTTGTTTGTTTTGGGGAATGGTTTGGTTTGGTGGCTTGACACAGGGTTTCACTATGCAGCCCTCGCTGGCTTAGAACTCTGTGTAGATCAGGACTTGAATTTACAGAATCCCCCTGTCTTACCCCCCGACCCAAGGTCTGAGGTTATAGTTGTGTGCCACCATACCCCACCTTTCTTTGTTTTTGATAGCTTTTGTTTTTATTTATTTATTTTTATAACTTTTGTTTTTAAAACAGGGTTTCATGTAACTCAGGTTGGCCTGGAATTCTCTATGTAGCTGACCTGGATCTCCCAGTCTTCTGCTTTTCATCTTCCAAGTGTTGAGATGACAATTGTGCACACCACTCCTGTCCTGGTTTTTAACTGTTAACTTGTTGATACTAGCTAGGAGGCAGAACATTCAGGACTGAGAAATGCCAAAGCATTCATACCATCCCATGCTCCCACGTCTCCTACCTTTGTCGTGTGGTTCCACAGAGGACTCTGTCCACTGACTAACAGGCAAGATTGACCACATTTGCTTAACCCAGTGTTTGTTCATTTTCTGTCCTGACACTTTGTAAAACAGGTAGTTAATCACAGGTAGTTGTCTGACCTAGCTTTGCTCCTCTCAGGAGCAGTTTCTTCTGAAGCAACTTCAAAACAGCCTCCAGTGAGGTGTGATGATGTAAGTTTCTCTTTCGGACAGCCAGTAACAGTGTTGAGTAGCTCTAGGGTTTATAGGGCACCCACCTCTGTACTGTTCATTCATGGCTCTCTCAGACCCTTCAGAGTACGGCTATCTATCCCAAAACTGTCATCCTCATCCCAACGTTTTTCTCTCTAAACTTAGTCTCTCCATTTCTTTTTTTATTTTATTTTTATTTAGGAATTTTATTTCATTCTCTGAGTCACTCAGATACTTTTGGGTTTCTATTCCATGATGACTTTTTTAGTTTTTCAAGACAGGTTTTCTGTGTGGGTCCTGGCTATCCTAAAACTTGGTTTGTAGACCAGGCTGGCCTTGACTCACTGAGACTGGCCTGCCTCTGCCTCCTGAGTGCTGGGATTAAAGGTGTGCACCACTACTGCCTGGCCCATGAAGACTTTTTTTTTTAAGGTAGTTTGGCTAGCGCAAAAAGGTGGTGGGTGTCACAATCTAGAAAGAGAGGCCTTTCTAACGTAGTCAGTTGGTAATTTCTCATGATCGGGGTATATATGTGAAGGATATATGAACTACTTTGACAGACTAGGAGAGAATAAATGATTGACCTTCAAGAAATCTTAGAATGATCTTCTCATAGAACATCCTTCAGTGGGGATTGAAGGATTTTCATGAGTTTGCCAGGCAAAGCCATGAAAATGTGACAAGGTGTGCCCCTTTCTGGGGCTACAGATGGTTAGTAGTGGCTGGGGTGTCAGATGCAGATTTGAGGTGATAGAAATTGGGGTTAAGAACATTTGTAAAGAAGTTGAAAAGAGGGCGCTGGAGAGATGGCTCAGTGGCTAAGAGCACTGGCTGCTCTTCCAGAGGTCCTGAGTTCAATTCCCAGCAACCACATGGTGGCTCACAACCATCTGTAATGAGATCTGATGCCCTCTTCTGGCATGCGGGCATACATGAAGGCAGAATGTAGTATACATAATAAATAAATAAAATCTTTTTTTAAAAAAAAAAAAGAAGTTGAAAAGTGGGGCTGGAGAGATGACTCAGTGGTTGAGAGCACTGACTGCTCTTCCCAAAGATCCAGGTTCAATTCCTAGTACCCACATGGCAGCTCACAACTGTCTATAACTCCAGTTCCAGGGGACTCTGACACCCGCATACATGCAGACATGCAGACAAAACACCAATGCAAATGAAATTAAAAAAAAAAAGTCAACAGGTAAAAGTGCATGCAGGAATTCTAGACCCTAGGAAATAGAGGTTTGAGCAGGATGAAGGTGTCAAGGTAGAGATGGCCAGAGCAGGAAGAGTTGGGCCCAATACCTGTAGGAATATTAGATTATGGCAGAAGTAAGGGTCTAAACTGAGCATGGTGGCTCATAAACATAATCCCAGTAAGCAGAAAGCTGAGGCAGGAGGATAACTGCAGTATTCCAGGCAGTGGAACAAAACCCTGTCTAAAAAAACTAATGGTGGCACACGCCTTTAATCCCAGGCAGAGGCAGGCAGATCTCTGTGAGTTCGAGACCAGCCTGGTCTACAGAGCTAGTTCCAGGACAGGCTCCAAAGCCACAGAGAAACCCTGTCTCGAAAACGCCCCCACCCCCAAAAAAACAAAAAAAAAACAAACAAAAACAAAACGTTGACTTGTCTGATGAGTTAGAGTTTATTTCATTGTAAAAAGTTTATTTGCTCCCACAGAGTAAGGATTAGGCTCTTTCCTTAGTTAAGATTGCCAAATGTAACAAGAGATATTGACTGACTCGTAAAATACACTGTTTGCAGGTCAACATATCTCAAGCTGACATGCAGGCCATTGGCAACACCATCACCATGGTAACACAGGATGGCACACCCATCACGGTCCCTACTCATGATGCAGTCATCTCCTCAGCAGGAACACACTCTGTTGCTATGGTCACCGCCGAGGGCACAGAAGGGCAGCAGGTAACTACTTTTGTTCACTGTTAGTCAACACATACATCACTGTCAAAACCTGCACAGAAGCTGTACTGTATGCTCCTATTTAGGCATATGAACTTCAAGCTATTTCCCAGTTTTATAACATCTTTTAGTCAATTAGTCCTTGAAGCTGATTTTTTTTCTCTATCTGTAAAATAGGAGTGATATTTACATCAGCCTCATAAAGTTCACGGTAGGCTGAAAGAAAGAGGGACTGGAGAGACAGTTCAGTGGTTAAAAGAGAGCGCCTACTACTCTTCCAAAGGACCCAAATTCAGTTCCCAGTTTCCATATTAGGCTTTTTTTTTTTTCAAGACAGGGTTTCTCTGTGTAACCCTGGCTGTCTTGGAACTAGCTGTGTAAACCAGGTTGGCTTTGAACTCACAGAGATCTGCCTGCCTCCTCTTCCCAAATGCTGGTATTAAAGGCGTGTGCCACCATCCCCAGCCACATTAAGGGTCTTACTACTGCCTGTAACTTCAGCCGGCCTCCAAGGGTACCCACACACACACATAGCATATATACTTCCATAGACATAAACACATTAAAATTAAAATTTAAGAACACCCATGTTTTTACAGTGCCAAGCAGTGATGGCACACACCTTTAATCCCAGCACTTGGGAGGCAGAGGCAGGTGGATCTCTGTGAGTTCAAGGCCAGCCTGGTCTACAGAGCAAGTTCTAGGACAGACTCTAAAGGTATTCAGAGAAACCCTATCTCAAAAAACAACAAGAAGACAAAACAATCAAAAAAAAAAAAAAACCACATACAGCTAGGCATACAAGTACATACCTTTAGTCCTAGCACTTGGGAGATCTTTGAATTTGAGTCTTACCTGGTGTTCAGAGCAGTTTCTAGGCCAGCCAAGGCTACATAGTGAGACTCTGTCTCAAAAATAAGTAGCCGGGTGGTGGTGGCATCACCTTTAATCCCTTCACTTGTGAGGCAGAGGCATGCGGATCTCTGTGAGTTTGATGCCAGCCTGGTCTATAAGAGCTAGTTCCAGGACAGCTAGGGCTATTGTTATACAGAGATACCCTGTCTCAAAAAACCAAAAGGAAAAAATAAACAAACAAACAAACAAAAACATCACCAGAACAAAGCTAGAGAAGTGACTCAGTAGTTAAGAACACAGGCTGTTCTTCAAGAGAACCTGGTTCAAGTCCAAACACCCACATGGCAGCTCATAAACATCTGTAACTCCAGTCCCAAGGGATCTGATGCCCTCTTCTGGCCTCTTCCAGCACCTGGCACACAAGTGGTACACAGATGTACACATACAGGCAAAACACCCATACAAATAAATAAATAAACAAACAAGAGGCTTCAGGAGATACTGCAAGGATCATGAGTCTCAGGTATCTAAGGAGATGTTGCTGTTGATCGGTCATGTCACCAGTCCTTCCAGGTCCTCAGTTAAGTGGAAGTCTAATTGTAAATACAAAAGGAGAAAATAATCCAGTCCACACACTGGAATAAATACACATCAGCATCCTTAGGACAGCAGAACCTAGGGACAGCCTCATCCCCCTAGCCAGTGAAGTTAGACATGGCACATCCATTTCTCCAGTACTCTCTACCCATTTGGCCATCGACTTACTTCACGGTCATAGGTGAATCCCTTCTGAGGGAGACTTAATTTCCTCAAATGAAAGAGTCCATCCTAGGCAGTGCATAAAGTCTGTCCCAGCAGTAAGTGCTTACACATCTTTCTTTGGTCCTTCCCACAGAGTAGACTTTAACCTAATGACTCATAGATAAATTTTTTTCATGTGTGTTTTATTCATTTTGTTTCACTTAAGGTTGCAATTGTGGCTCAAGATCTGGCAGCATTCCATACAGCCTCTTCAGAAATGGGACACCAGCAACATAGCCATCATTTAGTAACCACGGAAACCAGACCTCTGACCTTAGTGGCAACATCCAATGGCACCCAGATTGCAGTTCAGGTGAGTGCAAGTATAGGTGGAGACTGCTCATTCATTTCCCAGCCGCCCAGACCCCAGTAATCACACAGAAACTATATTAACTATAACACTGCTTGGCCAGTGGGGTAGATGTATTTCTTATATCTTAAATTAATCCATTTCTGTTAATCTGTATATTGCCATTAGATTGTGGCTTACCAGTAAAGTTCTGTCTTCTTTCTCCTTCAGCAGCTATATGGCGTCTCCTTGACTCTGCCTGTTCTCTCTATATATCTCTTTTTGGATTTCCTGCCTGGCTATATTCTGCCCTAAACTTATTTATTAACCAATGGTAATAAAACATATTCACAGCGTACAGAAGGAAATCCCACATCATCTAGGTTAGGTGGACAGCAGCAGTACATAGTTCTCAGCCTGGGACTCTGGGTCTTCTGTGTGACTTTCCTGTGTTTATGCTGTGCACAAAATCATCTGGGTGCCTAACTTGCTTTAAGACAACTAATATAATGCGGTGATCTGAAAATGACCAGAAACCACACAATGGAGGCATGTACCCTTAGTCCCAGCACCCAGGAGGCATAGGCAAGCTGATGTCTGTGAGTTCAAGGCCAGCTTGGTTTACATAGCTCCAGAACAGCCAGGGCTATATAGAGAGACCCTTTCTCAGACACCTTTACCCCCACCCCTGTGTGGCTTAATTGGTGGAGTGCTTGTTTGAAATTCATAAAACCTTGGGGTCTATCCCCAGGACCACATAACTAGGCCTGGTAGCCCAGGCCTGATCTGAGCACTCAAGAAATGGAGACAGGAAGATCAGAAGTTGAATGAAGGCCATTTGGCCTAAGCTATATGAGGCCTTAATCAAAACATAAACTAAGAGTGTTCTTTACTACCTTTGCTTTGCATGTTCTTGGGGAATTCATAGCAAGAGAAAATTTGTCAGGCGTGTGTCCTTGTGTGTACCCAGACAGCCGTGTTCATTGTTAAGATGGAATCTAGCAAGGTGGGGTTTTAATAAAATACGTTGGAGCTACTCCTTGGAGGTGAACTTGCTGTGAACAGACCCTCAGTGATTTCTCCAACAGTCTCCATACAGCCCCAAAGTGAGCATGTCACAAGATGTGTAGAAGTTTTGATTTTATGTTTTAGTGATCAAGCTAACTAATATTTTAGCAACCCTAACCATCAGAATTACCGAGAGAAATTACATCTCTACCATTTACCAATTCTCTGGCGTTACCCAGATCAGGGTTTTGGATTATTGATGTCTGATGTGTGTTCTGGTTTCAGCTTGGAGAACAGCCATCTCTGGAAGAAGCCATCAGGATAGCATCTAGGATCCAACAAGGAGAAACACCAGGGTTGGATGATTAATACCAGAACCACGGAGCAATAAAGCAGGAGGAAGGAAAGGAGCCTTTCATCTTCTGGCTACAGAACTCCCTGAGGCCCGGCCCAGCAGAGCAGAGGTTCCAATCCTGAAGCACTGTACACGTTTTTATGCAAGAGTGGAGAACATTTTCTTCTTGACACTTTTGTGTACATAGCCCCTGGAATAAATTCCCAAAGTGATTCATTGTGTACAAGGAAGTATGAAATGAGAGCGCCGCAGCAATTCTTCCGTCACTCTTACCACACAGCAGACGTTTGGACCCGCCCACAAGACCATCCAGGTCTATACAGAGTCAAGATGAGATTTTAACTTACTGTGAAAAAAAAAAAAATAAAGGCTGTATCTAATGTGCCGAAGGTTCTACATGTCAAACAATCATAACTTCAAAGCCATCACAGAAAATAAAGGATGCAAGCCTTCAGATGTTCCTCCAGTAGTGTCTGGATTTTTTGTCCACTCCACACCCATTTTCATTTCAAGAATCGAAGACCTCATTTATAGTGTCCCACCCTGTTAAATAACACTTTTTCAAACTAAAATACTAATTATTTTGGCATTACATTGGATTGTGTATAAAATTAAAAAGTTTGGTTGTTTTAAAGTAAAACATTAAGTCCAGTGTTTGAAGCTAGGCATGGTAGCCTGTGCCTGTAATCCCAGTGTTGAGGAAGTTGAGTCAGGATTACCATAAACTTGAGAGTGACCTGGGCTATGTGGTGAATTCCAGGCCGTTCTGGACTACAGAGTAAATACTTCCTCAAAAACAAAGAAAACAGTGCTGGGCTTGTTAAGGTTCTACTCAGGCTTCTCAGTTTTTCTACTGTTTTTTTTATGATAATCAACATGAGAATTTCCCACAGGTCTGTCGTAGGCTTAGAGTCCTACAGCTGGGATAGATTTACCAAAAGAAACTGGGTTAGTGAGTTGTGTAAAATTATTTGTTTTTGCTCATAAGCTTTTGTTTCAAAGCTTATTTAACCTAAAGTTTATTGTTACTGATTTTTGAATACAGCAGTTTTTAAAACAATGCTTTTTGTTTGCTTTATTAAATTGGTCTGGTGTTGGGGAATGTTGCACAAGCATCCACAGTGTAACAGCATGACCCTGTATACACTGGCCAAGAGTGTATCCTGGACAGGCAGAGAACAAACACTTCCCTGTGTATTACTGTCTACTCAACAGTCTTGTTGTCTCCAAATTACTCAGGCCTGACAGTCCTAAAAGGCAGGGCAGGTCAAGATTGGACAGCTCTGGCCTTCTACCCCCTTGTCTGGTATGGGTTTTATACTGCACTTCAGTATAAAGTATATATATAAGCATACAGTATAGTATACTTATACTATACTGTAGCCTGGAATGACAAAGTCACTGTAGCAGGGGACATCAAGATGGCTTTTGTTTGATAACTTCTGCTTGCTCAATAACAAGAGTTGAAAGCCTTTTTAAAAAATATTTATTTGAGGGGCCAGAGAGATGATTCCGCAATTAAGAGCACTCACTGATCTTCCAGAGGACCCAGGTTCAATTTCCAACACCCACATGGTAACTCACAACTATCTGTAAAGTTCCAAGGCTTCTGACACCCTCACATGGACGTACATGCAGACAAAACACAATGAATAAAAAAAAGAAAAATCACAAAAATTTTTATTTTGTATGGGTATTTTGTTTACATGTATGTCTGTATACTGTATGTGTGCAGTACCCATGGAGATCTGAAGAGGGCATCAGATCCCTTGAAATTGGAGTTACAGATGGTTGTGGACTAATGCGGGTGCTGGGAGCTGAACTCAGATCCTCTGCAAGAGTAGCTAGAGCTCTTTACAGCAAAACCATCTCTCCCCGTGGTTTTTGTTCTGTTTTGTCTTTTTGAGACAGGGTCTCACTCTATAGCCCTGCTTGACCTGAAACTTGAAGCCATCTTCCATCTGTGCTAGGATTGCAGGCAAAATTCACCATACCATTGTCTAATGTTGAGAGTTTAAAAGGAGAAGGTGCAGCCGGTGGTGGTGGCGCACACCTTTAATCCCAGCACTCGGGAGGCAGGCGGATCTCTGAGCTCGAGGCCAGCCTGGTCTACAAAAGCTAGTTCCACGACAGGCTCCAAAAGCTGCAGAGAAACCCAGTCTCGAAAAATCAAAAATAAATAGAGAAGGCTGAAAGGTGCCCTCCAGCCAATACTCGTAAACTACCTTTCACCTAGCTTGGGGTGTCAGAGCCCTACTGTGGCTACCGTGGCAGTTTTTCCTGTAGGGCTGTATACTTTGAAGGGGAAATGCTGTTTGATTTAATGTGGCTTTTTTTGATCAAGTTCTCTTATCTCCTGAGGCCAGTCATTTAGAGGAGCCCTCCGGGGCTGGTTGATTATCTTTCATGTCAGTGTGCTAGTTATCCCCTATCCAGCCTTCATTCACAATGGTGTTGTGTACACATCTGTAGAGTACCCATCTGAGGTGTGGGGGGCAAACTGGAGAAAATGTGAGGTTTCAGGGTAGGCCAGCATGAAAACCTAAGCCGGGGGCCTCTGAGCCTTTATATTCACCTATGCTCAGACTCTAGGGTGCTTCACGCCAGCCCAGGCCCCATGCCAGCAGGGTAGGGCAGCACTTACCTAGAGAGTTCTGGTAAGCCCTGTTATCCGGAGGTTTGAAACAAGAAAGAAAAGGCCTTCCTGTTGGTACCCAGAGAAAATGGGACACAGGATGCCATTCTTTGTCTCCAGCCCATCTAGTGTCTAGCAAGCTAGCGTGCTCCTCAAGGTATAGTGCTGTGGGTCTCAGCAAAAGTAGTGCAAAGGAGTCCTCCCAAAAATCAACCTACCAAAGGCACTCGAAAACAAGTTCATGTCAGCAAACAGCAGGTTGACTATCAGCTGGTGTGATAAGATCCAGCCAGTCGTTCAGTCCAGGAAGAACAGCCAGCTCTACCCTGAAGTGGCTTGAGGCCCCAATAAAACCTGTTGCAAGCCCCAGGAAGATAGCCCAGAGGGTAAAAGCACTACTGTGAAACCTGACCTCAATCGTGCAAACCCTGGAAGCTGGAAGGAGAGAACTAACTCTGCAAAGTTGTCCACTGACAGGCACACCACACACACAAACACACACACACACATGCGTGTGCACACAAACACTTGTGATTCTTTTTGTTGTTTTATATGAATGGGTTATGTGCACTGCATGTGTGCTTGGTGCCTCCAGAAGCCAGAGAGGGCATTGGATCCCCTGGAACTAGAGTTACAGACAGACCGTTGTGAGGTCATGTGGGTCCTGGGAATTGAACCCAGGTCTCTGGAAGAGCAACCACTGCTCTTAACCACTGAGCTGTCTCTCCAGTCCCCATAGTGCTTTCTTTTTTACTTTTATTTTTATTTTTTTACTTTGCATTATTTTAGGTTTTGGTTTAGTTTGGTTTGGATTTTTGTTTGTTTGTTTGGTTTGGTTTCTCAAGACAGGGTTTCTCTGTGTAGCCTTAGTTGTCTGTCCTGGAACTTGCTCTGTAGACCAGGCTGACCTCCAACTCAAAGTTCTGCCTGCCTCTGCCTCCAGAGTGCTAGAATTAAAGGTGTGCACCACCACTGCCTGGCAAACTTTTTTTTTTTTTTTTTTTTTGGTTTTTCGAGACAGGGTTTCTCTGTAGCTTTCGTGCCCGTCTTGGAACTAGCTCTTGTAGACCAGGCTGGCCTCGAACTCCCAGAGATCTGCCTGCCTCTGCCTCCCGAGTGCTGGGATTAAAGGCGTGCGCCACCATCGCCCGGCTGCTGGCAAACTTTGTACTGTTTTAATTATGTGTATGTGTGTGTCTGAGTGCGAGTTTATTTACTATGTATACAATGTTTCTCCTGCATGTACACCTCCCTGTTAGAAAAGGGCACCAGACCTCATTACAGATAGTTATGAGCCATCATGTGGTTGCTGGGAATTGAACTCAGTACCTCTGGAAGAGAAGCCAGTGCACTTAACTCCCCAATCCCAAATTTGTATTGTTTCAAATTGTGTTTATGTGAGTTTGTATTGTTTTAAATTGTGTGTGTGTGCCTATCGTGAGTTTGTGCACATGAGTGTAGTGCATGCCCTAGCAGAAAAGAAGACATTGGATTCCCCCAGCTGGAGTGGGTGCTACGAACTGAACTTGGGGCCTCTAGAAGACACAATCACTGAGCCATCACTCCAGCCCACCTTTGAAGTTCTTACAAACTTATCTATGAAGTTCCATGCAACAATGGGACATGCACTTGGTACCATGTCCGGGAACACAATGACAGGCTGATGAAGTGCAGGCAGTGAAAGAATTCAACAAGACAAGAACATAAAGCACTAGGTTTATTAGATGTACTGCATGACAGCCCCAGCAGGTAAGACAGTAGAGAGGAATTGCACAAACTTTCCCCCCTTTGGCTGGGAGGGGTAAAGTCTGTGTGGTCAGCCAGGCAGTATTCCATGTGGTGGGGTCCAGGGTTGTAGTTCTTTGAGACACCTGTGTGGTGCTCATGTCCGGATGATCGGGCAGCACCTTGGTATTTGCTGATGAACGGGACATACAGTGTGGATTGTTTCTCCTTGGGGCGGGCTTATTGTGCATAGCGAAGGTCAGGAGGGCTCAAAGCCTGCTCATCTGCTAGAGTAGTGTCAGGGTGCCCGAAGACAGACTACAGCCAGGCCTTGTTAAAGAGTAACTCCTTTGGATCCTGCTTGGAGGCAGCAGGGGCCTTCCTCTGGAGCCCAGCCTGACCTGAGGCCAAAGCAGTCTTGGGGAGAGGTGTATAGTTTAGCACTTAGATTAGTTGATTCACCACAGAGTGGCATCCACACTCCCCACACAGACTAGTGCAGGGTCAAATCACCTCAGAGGACAGAGGTGATCTTCTAGCTAGTTCAGAGCTAAGTGGGAATATTGGAGGAAAAGGAGTATTGCTTAGTGGTGGCATTCTGTCATGTGACAGAGCGTAGTCTGGAGGGGTTCTCCAGAAAAAGGGGGTGTCTGTTGAGGGATCATCAGAAGGTCCTCAGAGGTGGAGGCAGACATAGACGCCAATGGTGATGTAGCTAAACCTGAAACAATACCTCAGTCTAGATAGTTTCAGAAGCCTCTGGGGCTCAGTGGTTGGGAGCACTGACCCCTTCCTGAGGACCTGGGTTCAATTCCCAGCACTCACATGGCAGCTCACAGCTGTCTATAAGAGTTCCGGGGAGGGGGGAGCTGGAGAGATGGCTCAGAGGTTAAGAGCATTGCCTGCTCTTCCAAAGGTCCTGAGTTCAATTCCCAGCAACCACATGGTGGCTCACAACCATCTGTAATGGGTTAAAATCTTGGTGTCCTGGAGGTTTCTGTGCCTATCTTATCTTTTAAAACAGGAAACCGTTGCTTCACGCCAGTAACTTTTGTGCCCTAGGACCCTTGGAGGACAGAGGTAACAGCTCACCCGGTA